TGAGCAACTGCAGAAGTTCTGTTCATAGCGCAGCTGCAAAGGCTGTTCGTGTGCTAGAAGCGGTTTGTCCCCTCACCCGCTTCTCTTGCTTAACATGTTAGCAACTCTGAAATGGCAGCAACAAACACATTTTCTTGCTTTGCCCAGGAGTAAAACTGTTTCTTGACCATAGTTTTTTCACCAATCTGCACACTATTAATGAAATATTGGAATAATTGAAGGAGACAAATGCTTGCCCTGCAGATTATAGCAGTAATTTATAATTAAATTTGATACAATTTTTTTGAAGCCTGGCATTATGCGTGTGTTTTACTGATGGTTTATTTTCATGTGCTTGAGAATTGCAGAAAGAGTCTACTGGAAACTGCTAACTTTAGAATAGATTCGTTAGAAAGTATTTGCTTGTTCTTTGTTTTGGGTGTGTGAAATAAAATACTAAGGAGTACATTTCCAAGAGTTTCAAGTAATAAAGTTGGGTTAATATAGTTGATAAATGCATAGCTGCAGTTAAGCAGTCATTTAGTAGTACTTAAATGTTGTTACTTACTGTTGTATTAAATTTTGCAATTGAAAAGTGATTTGAAGTTTTTTTATCGGATGATTTTTGGAAATTGAATGTTCTGGAAAGTAGACATTTAGTTGTACTATGAATACATTGATTTTGGTACTTCACATTTGGGTTTTTTGTTAATTTTCTAGTAGGATGGGCTTTTTTTTTTTTTTTGAGGTTTATGGAGAGGTCCTCTCCATCTTTTTTTCTCTTCTGTTGCTAAAATTCTGCTTTTTGAGCTGAATGTGAAAATTGCCATCAACTGTGCTGCCTGAGCTTTGTTTCATTTTTGTCTTAAGCTGAGGAAAAGCATATGAAGTATGCTTACACTGAGGGACATAAATGCTGTCCGGATCTGCTAATAGCTTACAGTTAAAGAGCTAGTCTGCTATTCCAGAGCACACCAGCATGTGAAAGCAGCAATTCCTTGTGGTATAATTGTGTGCACTATTCTTCTTGCCAATGTTCATCAGAGTTCCTAACAACTCCTTCCTGATTTATAGTCACGCACAAATTGCTTACGTTACCATTGTGGGTAGAATCATAGCATGGCTGGAGTTGGAAGAGACCTTGAAGATAGTCTATTTTCTGCCCAGGGCCCCATCATCCAGCAGATTGTTTTAGGGAAGAAAAAAACCAAAAAAACAACAAACACCACAATTGTAAAAGTGAGGCTTTCACTTACTCTTGGTTAATTTCATCCAGCTTACTGTGCGTGCCTTCGTGAAGAGTGGCTACAGCTCAGCAGGCACTGTTGGGAAAGATGGGCTGATTGTAACCTGCTGTTGCTGCTGAGGAAATCACTTGGATGACTATCTTCATTGTGTAGTACTGAATCTAAATGAGCCATCGCTCAGGATGCCATACATTGTACATGAAGCCAGCTCAGATGTATGGTTTGAGCTTACTAGTGCATCCAGTCCAGAGAACTTGATGGAAGTATGTCACGGGATTCATGTCATCACTGAGGTAGAGGAGATCTGGAAGTGTGATGCAGTTTTCTGAGTTGGGCTATGCAGTTCTGTAAGCTCCCCTAGAACTTGAGGTACTTAAAGCAAATGTGGATGCATGCACAACTGGCTTTCTGTCTGGGGAACTCAGGACTTTAAGAACCTCACATAATTATTTTATTCTTTCATTGCTTCAGGCCCCGGAAAACTATTACTTGATTGTTCATTGGTTTGCATCAGCTTAAACATGCCCTTTCTCTGTTGCGTTTTATATTCTTTTTCCCCTCATACTTTCAGCGCTGAAGCTGTTGGTTAAGAGTGATCTGAAGTGCAGTATTTTATCACTTTATGTGTAGGTTTAAAGTAGATGAATGATTTTTTCAGTTTAGATCGACTCGCTGCAGAGACCTGAGGAGTTGTGCTATGCACAGTATGTTTGATTCTTAAGGATCTCAATTTCTGAGCAGTCAGAAGATGATGTAATTTGTTGCATTTTGAAATATAGTGTAATATAAAGCCCAGTTGTAGAATTAATAACAGCCTTTTAAAAGTGCAGACCCTTGCATTTATTCCCCATTCTTTTCAATTTGGAAATTTTTATTTTTCTGAAATTTGACAGGGTAGCCAGAGGAGCTTAAGTATAGTTCTTGACAGTAATATGACTGCTTGAATAGACTGCCTAATTTATAGAATTGTTTATGTTCTTGTCTTGCGCTGATGGATATTATCAAAGTGACTAAAGAAAAATAGGATGCTATTTTAAATAACTTTTTTTTGTTTTCTGAGGGTAAAACAGTAGCAATTTGAAATAATATTTTTTCTATACTTTATAGTCTCTTGTTGTGAATTCCTGATATATTGTAAACACTGTAGCTGCTGATGCTTAGTAGTTGTCTGACTTAAGCTAATGCAAGTTTTTAAAAAACCTTCTGTAAAAGGATCTTGCACATAAATTAATTATGAAACACTTAACAGAGTTTATTTAAAACACAAGCATGTGTATTCTAGCACACTAGTTTCTTGTTGCCTTTCATTTCTAGCTATGCAACCATGAATGGGGGGGAAAAAAAAAAAAGCAATGCATTTCTTTGTTTTGATGGTGCTCTGCTTCAAATAACATCCTTCTTCTCTTTAGTATGAATCTGTAATGGCTAATCCTATCCACACACTTAGTTATACTGTAAAATCATTATGCCTGTGGCATGGAGGCATTTGTAATGTTGGAAGAAATGGAATAGATGAAGTGGCAGGGGAGCTGGAGAGAAGGGTGTGGGAGCACAGGAGCAGGCAGCATGGGGTCGCTTGAGCTCTGCAGCATTGCGCTCTTGGAAGGGCTGGCTGGGTATGAGGAGCATTGGACCCAAGGACTTAAGGCTTTGCATTTGGGCAGGGCGCGCGCATCCCTTGCTTTTCATGTAATGAGGATTGTCTGCTCTGGAACGAGAGAACTCGTCTGTCCTTGACTGGCCAGATAGAAGCTAGAAGTTCTTGGAGGTGACTTGCTGCATTTCTCAGCCTTCCCTGTTTTGTGGAGGGCATGTGAAGTTCTGGCAAGATTTTCCTCCTGAGAATGAGGCCAAATAAGATCAAGCAAGATTACTGCAGGAGGTGAGCTTTCTCTAGAGGTGGTATTACTGCTTTGGAGTTATGCTTCCTTTCTCATATTTGTTATGGAAATGGTATAAAATGCCCATAAATAATAACTGAGTTGACTGCATAGTTTTCTTCTAGATAAAATTTTCAGGACTTAAACTGTTAAATTATTTCTGTGGACTCTTTGTGTAAAGAAGATGAAGAAATAAGAAAGAAAAATTTGAGACAATAGAAATAGCTAGCAGAATCCAGAAAGGATAATCAGACAGAAGGAAGAGATGGCCTGGGGGCTGTCTGAATCAGACCATTACACAAAAACTATCTAATATTTTGTGGTTTGTTAAAATGGAAAATGTTTAACATTATACTGTATTAAGATAGGTTTCCTTCTGTAAGAATTCACCTATCTCATTTTTCTTTTCATTTCTTACTCACGATCCTGCATAGGCTATGCTTCTCTATGCAACTCATCCCAGTTTCTGAAGCTTAGTTTCTTAAATGCATGTCGGGTTTTTCTTGACCAACCTTTTAGTTGGTGTTAATGAAATACCACTGACAATTCCTATAGTCCTCATATAAACGTGTCAGACCAGCTGCTCTATTGGAATTAACTCTGTCCTGTATGAAAATGCTTTTTTCTTATGGCCTGCCCTCCCCATTCTGTTTTCATATTCTCCTGAGATTGAAGACAAAAACAAACAAACACAAACCCAACAAACAAAGAAAAGAAACCAACAGCCAATTATTTCTTATGTGTTGAAACACTGTAGTTCTACCTTGGAGATGTTTCAGCTGCCCAGAAATATACAAATGTAGTTCACTTGCTGCCATGGATTTATGGGCTGGTAGGGGCCAGTGCCAGAATTGAGCTGAACTGGCCCATAAACCATTGACACTTCTTTTGAAAGACTTCTAAAAGCCAATATTGGAAAAAATTTTCTCATGTTTTTTCAAGATTAATATTATACAAGCTTGGATCTTTAACTCATTGCATTACATTGCAAGTAATTTCTGTGCAACTTGTATCTGTGTACACTTCCTTTTCACTCAAATGCTTTCTCTTACTATGGACTTAGCATTTACAAGGACATTCCTAGGCTTTTTTAACACTTATTTGTCTTAACACACCGTGTGTATCCCAGTTATCTTTGCAGATTAACATTATTACTTTATCTAGAAGAACTTTTTCATAAGCAACTTAGCAGAAGCAATATTGTATTTTTTATTTTCTGTCATTTATTTGCTACCTTCCGATCAAGTTAGTTATCCATGTTGTACCCCAGACAGCATCTTGAAACTACTACAAGAAGAATGTCTTGTAAGTCTCGTTGCTTTCAGAGGAGTGGCCGGAGTGTGCAGTGTGTGTATCATCTTGACAAGTACAGAGTATTGTTTTCCTTCCTGTTTTATCATATCATTTAGCAGTTGTGTTTATTACCGAGAAACTGATTATGCTGGATTTGTTTTTTCTCTTGGGTTTTGGACCATAGTTTTGGGATTTTCTGAGACTGTTTCAGCTATGTGAGGGAATTATGAGAATTCTGGTTATTTTTCTTGTTGTTAGTGTAACTATATGTGGTTTCCATATAGATCTGTGTTTGATGGATAGGCCTTTCGTGACAGTTTAATTTTCTTTGAGAAAACAGTAAGTAGCAGTTAGTGGTGCTTAAACCAAATGTTGAATGGCCTGTTGATTTGTAACTAAAATTACTTTTTTCAGTGTCTATCACTTAAGTATGAGGGGGTTGTTGTTGGAGTTGCGATGGTATTCAAAATGCCTAGTTGGGCAAAAAAAGGATATAATAGATACTGAAGAATTGTCTCTGTCCTACCCTTTCCATCACTCTTCTAACTTCCTTTGTAAGCAGACTGGTTTGGTAGTACTAATATGACACTGTTTCTTACAGGTTAATCATGGGTCAAACAGGAAAAAAATCTGAGAAAGGACCAATTTGTTGGCGAAAACGTGTAAAATCAGAATATATGAGACTGAGGCAGCTCAAGAGATTCCGACGTGCAGATGAAGTGAAGGTATAGGATGTTTTGATTCTCTTGTCTAGTGTCTGTTCTCAGAATTGATTTTCTTAAGTACTGAGTGACTCTGTAAGTTGTCCTGTTTAGCACCTGCAATAACAATTTCGTGAATGTCTTTGTTAATACTGAAAACTTGTCTTAACTCTAATCTTATAAGCGGGTGTGTTACATTTGTATGTGATTGAATCGAGTGTGCTAAGCATCAGAAGAGACTGAAGAGAGAAAGTATGGCAATTTGTTTAGCCACTTTCCTAATTCCATTTAGAATTTAATTCGGTGCTGAACCTTTAGATCTCTAAGCATGAGATCTTCTTTTCAGTCCAAGAAAGTGATAATGAAATCTATTGAGCCTGACTGACATTTAAACAAAATTGGAAGAATTTGATGTTGAGAACTTTTTAAAATCTATCTGCATTTTTAGTGAATGTTGTGATTTCTTAAGATTTTAGCAGGTGTCTTCATCTTATTTGTAATATTCACAATTGTGGTTAATTTTTAGAGTATGTTTAATTCTAATCGTCAGAAGATACTGGAAAGAACTGAAATCTTAAACCAAGAATGGAAACAGCGTAGGATACAGCCTGTACACATCATGACTTCTGTGAGCTCTTTGCGCGGGACCAGGGAGGTTGGTTAACATGTGTTGTGGTAATTCCACTTACAAGGTTGTTAGCGTGTTTTTGTTTGATTAACCGGAAAGTTGGCTCTTCTTTCTTTTCTAGTTTTACATGACTTCTCAGCCAATTTTTTTTTTCTTAGAAGTAAAGGAATAATTGATGTCCCTTAGGTGACTTCTATCTGAAAAGCAGTAAATAAATAGTGGGTTGCATAGCTTTGAGCAACACACAAGTCTGAAACTTATTTGGATTGTACTTCAGCATCCTTTTATCCTTTTATCTCTCTGATATTGGAAGTCTCATATTGGTCCTTGATGGACCAGTGGTACAAATGAGTAGATACTTTGATTCTTACTGAGTTAAAGTACATGGAAGCCGTCAATGCAGCTATTTGAATAAATCTGCTTTATACTAAGTAAAGTCATTTAAACGAGTATGTTCTGTAAGAAGCGAATTCTGATGACAGCCTGCTTGGGAGTTCAAATTGGCAAGTTAGTAGCTCCTCTCCAACTTCCAGTTTTAAGTGAAGGTTCAATTTATGTTAGTTGCACTTCTTCAAATTAAGACAGTCTGATCATGTGTAATAATCTGAAAAGCTAGTTCTTTTTTAGTAGGATGAGAATGAAGATTTTACTGTGAACAGGTTAAGAAAAAAAATCAGACAAAACCACAACATCTTTCTATGGAAGGAAATCAGCCAGACTTACGCTTTCATAACTTTTTAGAGGGAAGCTGGTGTTGTGTATATCAGGAAGGTGCATGTGTGTGCTTCACTATTTTCTTCGTCTTTTTAAATTTTTTTTGTAGCCTGGCTCACTATTTTATGTTAACTCCCTATGTGAATCGAGCACACTAAGTACTGTATTAAAATGCAGTCTGTCTTGTGAATTGGAAGAACTCTAATGCTTGATCTAAGATTTCATTTAAACCGCTCCACTATAAATTATGGCAAATGTAAACTTTTTTCTTTCTTAATATGCCTAATTTCTTCATAGTTGTATAGAATACTGGCTGGTTTTGTTACCTGACTGAAACTTCTTGAGAAACTATGGTTTTGATTAAGACTGTGGTGATACAGGTTTTCTCCAGTGGTTAGCCCAGTGAGTGTCAGCCAGAAACCGTAATATGTTCTGTCTTAGGCTAATAAATATCAAGCTGAGTTCTGTACCTAAACAAGGGAAGCAGTCCTAAATGCATTCAGCCATTTTAACTTATCTTTGGAATTGGAAGTCTCATGTGAACAGTAAGCTGAAAGTAATTATTTTTTGCTTTTGTATTTTTCTCTAAGATTAAAAATTTGCTAGAAGACTGGTAGATAGAAAATATACCTTCTTTCAGGGCGATGTTGTAAAGCAGTATCATAATATGGTATTTTGAGTATTTGTATACATGGCAGAAATCTAACTTCATTGCCTACAGATCTTAAATCTGAAACAAAAACCAAACAAACCAAGAAAAAAGATTAAAAAAAAAAATCTAACTTTTGTCATTCTACTGGGTACTGTCTCTGTATGTTGTTTGTTATATTACTTTGTATATTTCTTTAGAAATGTGAAGCTCTGTTCATCTTTCCCTTCTGGAAAGGAGAAAAATCTCTTGTCTCCACTTCCATTTTTCATTTCAGGTAGCCGTGAGAGCTATTCTAAACGTAATTGTACTTAACTCCAAGTCTTCTTTGTACTTTCCCTACTATTGTATTTTCCTATCTGCCTTTTTTTGTAAATTTTTTGGGGGATTTTCCATATTGTTCCTCAAATTTGAGAAGAGCTGATCTGTTGACTAGATTGGAGAGTAACCCAGAAGTTATTTGTATTCTGTGACGTGTCTGGTCTTTGGAGGCTGCGTAAATCTCCAAAAAGAATGGAGTCCCACAGCTGAAAAAGATGTGTTCTGAGCTGAATATTGAATCTTTTTTTCCCCTCTATTCTTTGTAAACAGTAGGCATAATCAAAGAGTTGAGGATAGGATAAAGATAAGAAGTCGATATCAGGGAAGCGGAGTGGGAATTAACAAGAGCATCTTCTTCCATCAGGTGTCTTGATGGTATTATAATACTTTTTTAACATATATTATACGTGATTTCTGCAGTGAATTGATCTGAATTCAACCGCCACCCTGGTGGCTTGAGTAAATAGTCTAAGACCAGTAACAAGTATTAAATCTCTTCTGAAATGCCTGAAATAGCTTATTTTGTAGCTGAATAGTTTGAGTGAAATACTAAATACCTTAAAACAGCCATTTTACTATCATGTGGAGGGGAAAAAAAAAACACCACCGTGATCTGTTCATAAAGGTACCAAACCAGAAGTAATTTCTGCATCTTTTTTCCTTCTAAACTCGTTCTTATTATGCCCTGAAAGTCTGATTCATTTTTCAAAGGTGGATCTAGCTAGTTTTGATAAACACTTGCTCTGTTTGTTGTATACTTCCTTGATTTTTATTTTTATTTTTTTCTGAAGTTGCTATTGTAAGTGTAACTTCAACCTCTGATTTCAGTGCTCTGTTACCAGTGACATAGACTTTCCAAAACAAGTAATCCCCCTGAAGACTCTCAATGCTGTTGCTTCTGTGCCTATAATGTATTCTTGGTCGCCCCTTCAACAAAATTTTATGGTAAGTTTAAAAAAAGTGGTGTGGGAAGAAATATGGGTGAAAAGGGAGGAACTTACTTTCACTCTTAGTTCTAAAACTATCATTAGTTGCAAACTAAGTCTATATGTTTAATGCTCCTCATTATCTCTAAAACACTGCTTTAAAGAGAGCCTTAATGGCAGGTGACTACTCATATTGCACTGCATTTTACGGATGCAGCTTTGAGCGTTTATGTAACAATAAGCATTTTCTGAGAGATATCAGTATTCTCATTTAAGACAGTTGAAGAACATACCTATAGTGAAATGGTAATTTCAATGGAATAGAAAGAATTTAACCCTTAATTAGTCTTCTCATGTAATGGTGATCTTAGCAACCAGGTGCCTTTTCTTACAATGAGCTTTGTTGTGTGTACATACAGCCTTCATGTTAATTTTCTTAAAAAAATATCTGACTTATTTGAAAAGGTTAGCTTATTAAGATCTTTGTCACAGCTTTGTGCACAGTGGCTTATGGTTATTACAGCAATCATAGCAAAGTGATTTAAATATCTAATTTTATCAGTATGTTCAGAGTTCCTCCACTTTTTTCTTTTGTTTCTACTTGCTTTCTTTTTGTCATTATCTGAGTATTTTGCACTGCTGAAGAATCATGATCAGCAGGAAAGATTGAGTTTATTTTCCTAACAATAAGGTTCTTCTGAAATACTGGGAGATGCTGCTGAGTATCAAGGTCTGTAAATTCTTTATAGAGAAAACAAAACTGACAGTGGCATTTGCATTAAATTGTAAGGCATATTTCTGTGGTATCTGTTTAGAGAACTTGAATTTGAGTGTTTCTGTATCATATTTCCTTACCTCTAATAAGGAAACGAAAGGATTGTTTCTATCATATATTAACATGGATGGGAAGCAAGGAAGGGACAATTAATTTACCACTGTAAGCTTTCCAAAAGCTAGGTAGCTTATTGTGCTTCTTCAGCAGAAGCTCTGTTGTAACACAGTGCTCACCTAAATGCAGGAGTTATTGTCAGTACCTCGAGCTAGTCACAGCTGGGACAAAATAATGTTGATTACAGATGGGGAAGTTTGGTTTATTTAGTTAACTGTGAATATGGTTTATATGCTCAACATGCTCAGATGGTTAAGCCAGTTTAACTGCGACATCTCTGGTGAAAACATCAATGCTGACACTGCCGATTGGACATGCAACTTAAAATTGTTTGATCATATCTGTTGTTACTAGGTAGAGGATGAAACTGTTTTACATAACATTCCATATATGGGAGATGAAGTGCTTGACCAGGATGGTACCTTTATTGAGGAGCTGATAAAGAACTATGATGGGAAAGTGCATGGAGATAGAGGTGAGCCCAAGCACTTGAGTGTATTTATCACTACTTCCTACATAAACAGTTGCTGTCAGTTTTGTTTATTAAGACCTGATGCTTGCCTGTTGCAGCAGTATTTCTAGAATTCTTTCTCTGTGTAAGTACTGGGTATAACAGAGTCTGTTTAAATCTATTGGTTTTCGTAAGGCTATAGAGGATTTAAGTAATAGTAT